CTTGGTTTAGAAGTTGAGGACGTGCAACGGGACAAAGACTTTGAGATGGACCATTGAGAGGGACAAACCTGCTGGATGTCTGATACCGTGCCAGTGTAAACTGGTGGCTTCGGACAGTCTGTTGTATACATTCACCACGAGCAAATCACCAGACCTAGCCTCTATCGTGGGGCCAGGATAAAGACCTGGAGAGAATGAGAACGTTGACGCTGTACAGGAAGAAAAACTGACCATTCATCGTGAAAACAGTTTTCTGCACTCCATTGGGAGATAGAACCTCTTCCTCCAAAATAAGATCGTATATCCTGATAGCTTCTGAACGCAAAGTATGGCTCGATGGAGACAGCTGGAATCTTGATGTTTCTACGGGCGCAAGGAAGGCTGAGAGAGGTGTCCTCAATTTCAGATTCAATCGATAGAGGAGCACGACAAGCAAAAAGATCAGCGTAGCTGCATATTTCCAGGCGGGTGGCATGGCACGTATATTTAAATCAGATTTTCATGATTTATGAAGGTCATACTAGGGTTATACATTTAGAACATGAGAGAAACGTGCGAAGGAAAGACGGAACGGCCACGTGAAAGATAATTGCCGGGTCGGCATTTGTGAGAACTCCAGTTTTTCTATCTTTCTAGTTCCTGGAGCTGAAGTTTACATGCCCGCTTCTCGAACGTGCTGCAAAGAGCATATGCCACCAGCTCTTCTCTTATCACCAGAATCTAACGTGACTCGTATAAAACCTAGAATTCTTGACATGAGCGTTGGTATATTTAACGATTAGCGAGTCGACATATATAACCCAGGAGTCACGGATCCACACTCCCCCAGGATAAGGATGCCTTCTCTTCTGAACGCTCTCATTGCAGCCTCTATGGCTATACTTACCTATGCAGACAGCCTGGCCGAAGTCGAACACATCGTATTATTCATGCAAGAGAATAGAGCGTTTGACCATTACTTCGTAAGTTGACGCAGCTCTTTGCTGTGAATGTAATCGTGACATCTTGCCAAGGGTACTATGACTGGAGTGCGAGGGTTCAAAGATCCGAAGTGAATATCATCTCCACGTACATGTATATTTAACAAAACTGAATTTGCAATTCTCTGGTAACTCAGCGTTCAAGTCAATTCAGATGGCCGCTCCGTGTTTTTCCAAAAGGTCAACTCGTTTCTCTCAAACGATACCGATTTTCTCCTTCCGTGGTACGTCGCCGCAGAAGGCGGGGAATTCATCAACGGCACACAATGCATGACGGCTGGATCGAACGGCTGGGCAGAAAACCATGCTGCCTTGGCTTCTGGGCAGAATGCAAGCATCTTCTATCTCTTCTGATTCTCGTCATGGTTAAACTTGAGTATATCCTTAGGATCTTTGGGTCGAGGCAAACATGCCACAGTCATGGGGCCATTTCAGACGATCAGATATTCCTGTTCATTTTGCTATTGCCGAAGGATGGACTGTAGGGGATATGTATCAACAAGGAGTCATTGCTGTAAGTTATTCTAGGAGTCATTCATTTACTTCATATCGCATAATGATATTCCTAAAGTCCACAAACCCTAATCGCGTTATATGGCAAACCGGCACCGTCGCGTATGAAATGAACTTACTTGAAATTTTGATCGTCCTCTGAAATTTTCTTAGTGCCTCCGGAGGGAATGTAAACACTACGCAGGGCCCAGTGTTGGACAACAATGAGACTCCGGGATGCTCCCGGCTTACAATGAGGCTCGAAAATGGTACAGAGATTGACTCACCACAAGAATATAGCTGGTATGTAGGCATCTCTTTATGCATCTCAAGTTATTCGTTTACTAAGACGCGCTGTAGCTTTCCGTACGATTGGAAGACCGTAAGGCCGGTATTGAAGAATTTGCACAATTGATACAAGCATTGCCTTCAAACAGCTCCCAGAGTATCTTGAGGATGCAGGTATCTCCTGGAAAGAATATCAAGCTTTCGACAAGTGCGTATTTGTATTTTTGAACAATCTCATTATCTAGAGCTCAATCACACCCTTCGACAGCTTTGGTGATAATCCTCTACCTAGTTTCGTATTCTGGCAGAATTTGGCTGACAATAATGCAACTTCGGAGCTTGCCCAGCGAGGTACGTTCTGTCAGGGTATCGCATCTGCGCCATAACTTAGGGTGAGCTATGTAGGTCTGGCTATGAATGGAGGTGGAAATTGGCAAGGTGGGCTTGACCTGCTAAAGAAGCAAGCTTCCGAGTACGATCTATCCTTTTTTGCGATGGCCACCATCAAATTTTACTACATCTCAAAGGGGATCTCTACCAGCGGTCTCGTTCTATATCGGTAAAGCTTATAGAATCATTTCGCTTCCGCTTTTACTGATTCACAAACTACTTATGCATACAGGCCCAGCAGAGCTTTCTGAACACCCTCCTTACCGTCCCATTGATGGTGGTTGGCTGCAAAAGGAAGTTGTCAACGCGATAGTCAATTCTCCCAAATACAACAAAACGATTCTCATCATCTCTTTCGATGAGACCGGAGGATGGGGTGACCAGTACGTTAACGTTTGTACGTTTTTTCGAAGCTAACTCAGGCTCTTTGTTTATACCTAGTGTGATTCCTTTCACTTCGTATACCAAATTCATCAGCGAGCCTTTCATTGTAGTGCTAATTACCCTGAAATAGACCTGAAAACACCCCAGGCGAATGGATCATCGTGAGCGCCTCTTTAATCTTTCGTCCTCATTTTGTATTACTCTTATCAACCGTTCAGAACCCCTTCACAGGACAGCCTGCGCCGACTGGACCTGGATTCCGCCTTCCCTTTACCGTCGTCTCGCCGTGGACCCGCGGGGGCGTTGTATTCACTGAGCCTGCAGACCATATTTCGCAAACGCTGTTTTTGGAGCAGTGGGCAGCTGCCAGGGTATAATGATTCCCTCTCAGTGAGTCAATCAACTTAGTTTCTTCCCAAACTAGGGCACACCATTCACCAACACGCAAATCAATGATTGGAGAAGAGAGCATATGTCCAATTTAACAAACATGTTCGATTTCGAAAATGTACGGTGGTACATAAACTTGCATCTTTCTCTAAATCTCTTACAATGACTTCCAGCCTGATTACTCCGCCGCACCATTGCCTGATACTCCGCCGCCCCACACTGACCCTCTAACTTCGTTGCTTGATGGCGTACATCTCGTTCCTCTCCGATGAATAATGAGTAGCAAGCTGATTACCTGTTGTATCTATAGGATGTATTCTGTGAAAATACCTTTGCGGGATATATTCAACCCCCTGTCCCGTATGGGCAGCAAATTCAAGCAGACTCCCTGTTTACGGAGACTGGCTTCAAAATTGTTCGAGGCATGTTCTAGGGTACTGACTGTGACACATTGACCTTACGTATAATTATCATCTACTAGGCTCACTCACAGAAGGCCGCTACCTTGTTATTGAATCTAGCACCAAGAACCTTGCTCTATCTTCGAATGACTCTTCCCTCGGTACTTCTGCGGCCACGAACGACAAGTTCAATACACCCTCTCAACGTTTTGTGATCCATGCCACCGATCCTAAGCTTGCGACAGGAAAAAGCTTTAGGATTTCCTCTGCTACATCTGTGGCGAACGCTAATGCTACTGCCACCAACGCCACCACTTCATTCCTCAATGCGAATCTGCAGTTTGGTTCTGTCAACTCCAGTGCAGTATTCAACATCACTTATGGGGGTGGAGGTATTTATAATTTCTTGGAAACTGAAAGCGGCGGGCTCCTCAGTTTAGGGGATGATGGGACTCCATTGTTGGGCAGGGCGGCAGAAGCTTTCAAGATATTCTCCATCTCTTTCTAACGAAAGCAGAGCAGAAGATATGTGATTAAGTCACCATTGTCAATCAACGTATTTTTAGGCGCCGTTCATGCACTGTAAGACTCTGCGTGTCCATTTACCTTTTCAAATGGGAACTCTTCCTTTTCATTATGGAAAGGAAAGGTCATGGTGTACATGGTCTTTTAATGCGTGTTAGGCGCTCATCTCTTGTAAAGCGGGGACATTTTGGGACAATCAGTACTATAAGATGCTGCATTGTTTTCCTCTCCTTCAGCTTCCTAACCTCTTATACTTCATCACAACGCCATGATTGTTACGGACTTCTACTGCACCAAGTGCAAGCTACAGTGCGATAAACGGATGAAATGCTCGGATTGCAAGACGGTCGTTTACTGTGTGAGCTCATGTAATATTTAATCTGCTCCACTGTCGCTGACACTACTTCCGGTAGTCAAAGAAATGTCAGAAAGACCATTGGGCTACGCACAAGCCAATCTGCAGAGTTCACAACCCAGACGAGGTTTGGGGTATAAGAATCTTGTCGAATAGCGTTACTGCGAAGGCTGGATATCCATCACATTATTTCCGGCATGAACTTATCAGCACGAACCATTCAATATTCACTAGAGGAGAAAGATGTCCAGTCACTAAGCATATCGGGATACCGTTAATCATCTATAACACTGGCGTATGTGAGCGCCGCGCTACTGGCTGGAACGAGATAGCGGTAAAGCTAAGAGTAGAGACAACCGATGGTTTTGCGCCAGATATGTGAGTGTTCATCATTGATCAATATATAGTGGTTTCTTATACTGACAAACGCTTGATGGATGATGGAATTGGAAGATGGCAGCACCAGCCTGGCGAAGTAAGAGTCAAATAAACATTGATTTATAGATCACATTACTGACTTTGAACGGGACTAGTGTCTTGTTATCCGAGAGGATCGAAAGCCCCTCACACAAGAGCTGCTTGAAACAGTGTATAGGTTTATTAGCCATCTCATGAGTTACCCCATCTTGGACGAAGGTTGGGCTTCGTGGAATGGGCTTTTGAACCCTTCCGTATGGCAGATGTATGCAAAGATATACTATGAAGAGCAGGAAGTCGCTGGTCGTGAGAGTTTTGGCCGATTTTCCCCTCTAGTTGATTAGCGGATTGACGTAGCATAACAGAGCGATTGTTGTTGCCCCCGTTGTCTAATGGCTATGACGTCAGACTTCTACTGCAATTGAATCTGGAGGTTGCGGGTTCGAGTCCCGCCGGGGGTTAGCATTTTTTATCGTATTTTTTTATATTGCAGTTTGGCGAAAATGAAAATCAACAGAGGAAATCAATATCATGATCTTTCTTGGTTATCCAATTAGGTTATAGAATTTCCTTTCAAGGAATTCCGAAGACTCAGCGTATTTGGTAGTTTGGAGAAGATGCATCATTGAATAAAGGGGAATCCGTTAAAATTACACGCATGCTGAGCACAGACTCATGGTCAGCCCTTAATATGTTATTTACAGTAAGATAGTCGTGCTTCGTGCGAGCATGTCCAACTTGAACTTGCGATGCCCAAACCAAAACAAGAAGGGAAAACTGAGGAACCATTTCAAAAGTTCAAACTTTTTCCAACGTCCCTACATGGTGCTCAACCTCGTCGACAGATCCAGAGTGTTTTTTATCCGAATCCTGTTTGCCTGCTGCGTGTAGGCCTTGGCCGAGAATTTCCTTCGTTGCTTCCTCGCCATCGAAAATGGCGGCCGTTTCTTCCAAGGAAAGGTTCTTTGTCTCGACCACATCTGGAAGGAGAGGGGCCCGAAAGGAATTATTAGTATGAATATTAGGCAGAGGGCGCAAGCTTAACGTACATAGATAGAGGAAGACACATTCAAAAGCGATCCAGCAGCAGTAGACGATGTAGTATTTCCATTGAATAGCGGCTGTCCCATGTTTTGTTAGATTGAGTCGGGGTACAACATGAGGAACTCACCAAGAGCGATAGGGTTGGCGTATTGGTTGAAGATTAGAGCAAGCGAGATGGTAAAGTTGAAGATGTTGAAACCCTTCGCTCGCAGAGGGTATGGCAGAATTTCAACAGTGTAAGCAACAATCAACGGCGTAAACGCAATACTGGAAAAAGGAGTTCAGTCACCAAAAAAAATAATTCAAAGCCGCCGTTTTAAATACGCACTCGTAGCAAGCATAGTAAAGGAAAATGAATGCGATAACGCTATGTGCAGCGGCCGGGTGTCCATTTATTTCGAATTGTGCGAATGCGATGGTTTGAGAGGTGAAGAACACGAGCATGCCAATACCAGAGAGGAGGAACATGAAGCGACGACCTAGTCTCTCGACCAAACTTGAAGCAATTAGCGCACATATCAAATTCCAGATGGCAAGAATTCCGTTGATGAGGAGCTAGATGATAATTGATAATTTTAGCTCAGGAGTCGAAACAGATGTTTTTCCTGGGTATGTGCATACCTGCGTGGTTGAATCTTTAATATCAATGTCGGTGAGGATCTGGTTCAGGTAGTATGATGCTAGACCGTTCCCGGACCATTGCGAGAAGAACGCGATGCCGATGATAATCCTCATCCGCTTTCGGTTCCCGGGTGTGTTGAACAATGATTTCCAGCCGACATTTGCCGCAACTACACAGTACATGAAGATGATATCTTCCGTGATTGATAACATCGGGAATCTTACTTGTTCGATCGTATTCAATCGCAGTCTTGATTTCATTGAACTCGTATTGCACCAGAGGATCGTCACTGATCTTTCTTTGAGATGAGATGACACTGAAGAGTAAATGGAAGCGCACCGATTGCCGTCAGCGTGGTAATAAGCAAGGACATCCATTGCTTGTTCATTCTTGCCTTTACTGAGGAGATAACGAGGCGATTCCGGAACAAAGAAAATCAGCAATACTTGAGCGATTGAGGGTAACCCTTGGAGGATTGACGGTATCCGCCATGCCCATGCGCTGTTAATCTTGAATGTACCAAATGTGGTCCAAGCCGCACTATGGAGATAAAGAGGCATCTATTGAATTACGAACTCGGGGACTGGGATCACGAAGGTGTCACTTACACGATAGCGCCAGAATACCACAGGGAGTTGTATGTGGCAGTTAATTGGGCTCGATATCGAGGATATGATATTTCGGAAACCAACATGGGAGCAGCATTGGCTGAAATTGATGTCGTATGCTAGTTCGCATCGAGGAAGTGTGAAGGGAGACATACCAGCGAAGGTAAGGCCAAATCCTATCATGAAACTGTTCGAAAATTCAGCGTCGTCACAAACAGCTATAGTGATAATTGGACGTACCGGGCTCCGACAAACATTCCTTCCGACTGTGAGGCACCTTGGAGAGCCGTAGCTATGCACATGATGAGAGCGCCAATAAAGATAGTAGGGCGACGTCCAATTCCATCGGAAAGGTAAGGAGCAAAGGGGTAAGCTGCTAAGGCACCAATGTTCTGCCAGGATATTTAAACTCTCTAGACATACAACAGAGAAACTGTGAACACACCTGAATAGCATTGAGCAGCCCGAGTTGGCTGGGACTAGGGTGGTTGAAGTAGCTCTGCCATTGGCTCCTATAATTTCCTTTAGCATTGAGTTATCTCGAAGGAAGGGACAACCTAACAAAGATTGAAGACCGTTCATCATGCTTCCATCATATCCATTAGTCGAGGACGTGATAAGCCTGTTGCATATGTCCGTCAAAAAGTGAAGTTCGTGAAGCTGAAAAAAGGCGACCCACAGTAAAAAAATCCATCCATTCAAAGCAATAAGCCTGCATAAATCTTTGAACACCTAGTGATGGTCCTGGCAAAACGTTTGAGCTTACCGCTTATTGTTATACCATGTCTTTCTTGGGTCAAGAAGATGGTTAAGACCAGAATCGGTTGCGGCAGAGGCGACCACACCAGGAGCCATGATGGTTAACTGTTTCGAGTGAAGAACAGCGCGGTGTTTGGCGTGCGTAACTCTGGAATATATACCACTCTGTTGTGGTTTAAGGGAGCTGAAGGGCTACAAATGGACAGGTGACTTAATCACTTATTTTTCCAGAGGTACACCGGAAAGAGTCCGCGTCCCGCGCTATCTGAGACTAACCGAGCCTTTCAATGTAAATTTGACCTAGGATTTGGTTGCGTCCAGGTTTCTGCCATCCAAGTACCTGATACTAGATTTTCTCATACCGGCTCGCAAGGATCACGATATGATCTACTTGATTTCTGCCTTGGGTATGCGAACAGGTTAAACGGTCAACATTCGTACGAACCAGGCGTAATGGTAATTCCCGAACATTCTCCGCAGAATTAAATCAAACTGTACTTAAATGGCAACAACATCTGGTCAAAGCTGCATTCATGCATTGAAGGTCCGTACGCATACCCCGGATTGACCTAACAACTGCGCGAATTTGCAATACGCTACGAGGGACTAAACCTGGAGAAACCTGGGGAAACAGGAGTTGTGGGGATCCATAGTCATAAGACGAGGCCCCCGACTCCCGACGGCCTATACCCTTTGAAATAATTTCTGGAATGTCCACATACAAATCAAAAATATTTATATTACAAGAAATCAAATTGCGACATGGTAAGTAAGGAATTAAGTCAAAGCGGAACAAGTAAATGTTAGTTCGACACAGATTAGAAGTGTTTCAATATATCACTAGCGGTAGAGTCCGAGGGACGCAGGGAGCCTGCTACCGGGGAATTCTCTATGGTCGTCGCATTGGCAGGATCGGCTTTCTTCCTGCTGAACCAGGAAGAATTCCAATATGATGTCGAAGATCTCGCAGGAGCCTGGAAGGAGCCAGTGGTAGTCTCCGTATTCGTCAAAGGGGAGGCCCTTGAGATATGCAACGAAGACGGCCGAGAACTCTGATGGCTCACAGTCCTATTCCGAAAATGTTTTTTCAACGTACTGGCCATGTCTGACGGCGAGCCCCCTGGCGAAGGAAAAGCGGCATCGGTTCGTTGTGCACTCACACCAGCAGAGGAGGGGGATGAGACCAGATTTTGGTCCGACAGGGCCGTGGTTGGATTGGCTTTATTCGTCGAAGAGCCGGACGAGACGCTTCCGAACGGCGCAATACGACCGCCAGAAAATCTGGAGGTAGTTGATAGACGAGAAGCGCGGGAGCCCGAGCGTAAGGGAGATTGTGGACCCAAAGTCTGGGGTGAGCTAGCAACTTCGACTTGAGATGAAGACGGAGGCGAAGAAGCGGGAGGGCCTGTTCGATTATCTAAGATAGGGAACGGCTGTGGAGTCACCTCTGTGGCCGGTGTATCAGGGGATGCTTGAGCTAGTAATCGTGATAATGAAGACGGTCGAGCATTACTAGGCGAAGAATTGGAACGAGTACGAGAAGTGAGAAGTTGTGGAGAAGTTGTGGATGCCACCTGAAACGTATCTTCTACCTCTGGCTCAAGGGGACCTCGAGGTAGTGCTGGAGTGCTACTAGCTAGAGACAGCTTTCGGTCCGGATCTGAAATGCGCTTCGAAACCTTACGCTTATCATGAGCCGGTTGGGTCCAGCCTTCAACCTCCAGCATATAGTATTTAACACCGTCTCCCAGCGCATACGGATTGCTCGTGGGATCCTGATGATTCCATGAGAAACTGGATCTTCAAGCTAGCAAAGACTCACATCGCGGTCAACTACACGCTCGGTTATTGATGTTATGCGGGCTACAATCCATTCCCGTGTTTTCAATTGTTCCGCAAGATGCCCAGTGGCTTGCAAAAAGTAGTGCGGGAATGAAACTATGGGGTCGGGGAATATTCGGGATACAGATGTTAAGCGAAAATAATGAGGCTCACCATTGAATGCAGCCCAAGGCTTACTGACAGAATTTCGTGTTGGAAGGAATAAGGCTAGATCTCCTTTTGCGAAATTCCTGAAGGATATCTTGCGCTTAGCGCGTTCACGGTACTCCTTGCACTGCTTTTGCCATATTCGTACCGTTGAGCCAGTTTTAGCGACAGCGTCCAGAAAAGCATCGTGATCAAACGCCCTCAAAGCCTCCAACGCCGCTGCAGGGTCAGACGGGTCGACTGGTGAAGGTTCATCTACATTCCCGATAATATTTTGGCGTAATACCGGTGAAAATGTGGAGTCTATCATAGAAGAGTTTTGGCCGTGCATTCGCAGCGAGTGTGGATGAGCAAAAAGTGTAATGTTCTGGGCAGTTGACATAGCTTTGATGTGCGAGGTGTGGAATGCCAACGCAGCATTCAGAATTTGAGCAAGCAG